CCCCCCCCCAGCGATCTGGTCAAGGCCCCCCCCCCCATCAGCCAAAGCTTGTCGGGCAGTCAGACCAAAAAAAAAGGGCCTAGCTTTCCCATCCTAGCCATTTCCCATCCATAGCCAAAAAAATCTCGTTTTGGGAGAAGGGGATACCCCCTCCCATTCCCACCCCTGGCTCAGGCTTTTGGCCCTCAATACTGGTGCACGCTATAGATACACCCATAAATACTTAGGACATCTTAGCCCCCCACATCTTAGCCCCCCCCCCCCAATAAATTATATCCTAGAGCCGTCACTGATTGTAGGGAGACCTGTATCTCAACTCTGCATTTTCTCTTATTTGGTTCCTGTTTCCACTTGTTTGTTATGTAATTACTTTACACTTTTTTCTGTATTTCTTTAGTGCTGCCCAGGATATGTTGATACAGTTATTACTTACTAATCTCAAAGGAACCATATCAATTGATGAGTTGGGACTTTTTTGTGGTTCCATGTTATTAAATGTCTTAATTGAATTGAATTGAATCTCAACTCTGCATTTTCTCTTAAATGTCATACTTGTTTGTTATGAAATTACTTTACATGACCTTTATTTTGTATTTCTTTAGTGCTGTCCAGGATATGTTGATACAGATATGACTAGTCATAAAGGAACCAAAACAATCGACGAGGGCGCTGAAACACCTGTTTATTGTGTCATGATACCAAAGAATTCAACTGGGCCCCAGGGAAAACATTTGTCTAATAAAACTGTTGTTCAGACTTGGTAGACTGTAATTTCTACTACAGTTATTGAAATGACAACTGGTTGTTCTGATTACATCTTACTGAACTCTGTTTTTCTCATTACACCTGGTTATCACACCTTGTTGAATATATTGTAAAGCCCAATATTTTCGCGATTTTACAATTTGACATATATCCCAACATTATATTTTCACGATTTTACAAATTGCAATTGTTTTTGTGTCTAATGCCCCCCAGGGTGTAGTAGACACTACGTTGTCATGCAACAGTTGACTTTTCTAATTCCGGTGGAGGTCATTATGTAGGTGGATATCTAAACCACAGACTCTATATACAACAGGATTAAACCATTAATTATTTTCCACATCATCGTTTCTATAGAATTAGGCAGTAGACACATGCTCACGCTGGGAGCCTATTTTTTAACATGATTCAGAAACCTGTCATTATGTTTTTTTAGCTTTTATATATATGTTTTCATCCATTTTCAAATAAATTGAGGCAAATAAACCACCTTGTCTGTGTTTTTATTGAATATATATATTTGCCTATGCAGCACCACCACTGATATATATAAATCATTAAAGAAAGGTAAATACAGTGTTCGAATAAAGGACATAATAATACATCATGTAGCATAGTTCTCAACGAATGTAGTCCTGTAAATAAATGAATAAAGAAATTGTGTAATAAAATGCCTCTGACAGGACTCGAACCTGCGACCTCTCGCTGTCAAGGCGAGCGTCATTACCATTAAACCACGGAGGCTTCATGGTTGAACAGATTCAAATACCACCAGATACACTCCATTACACAATTATAAGTACGGCTAGAAACAAATGGGATACGGACATAAACCACCCAGGACATAAACCACCCAATTGGAATATACCATTGTTAAAGTGGGTGGGCAACAGGGTGAACAATGTTGGGTGGTCTTGCTTTTATTTAGCTTTACAATAGGACTTAATTTGCTATTGTACACTCCTATTATACACCTTTAATTCATTCATTTCTTCTGACAACATGCATGTTGGTTAGTGATCATTGTAGATTTTAGTAATCACTGTGCTTAAAGTTTAATTTTTTTTAGTTTTCTAAATTTAT